TTGTTATATATGAAAAGTAAGATACTGTTATAATATTATTAAGATTTGGTGTTGCATTGCATGGTTTGTTTGATTTGTGTATTTGTTGAGTATGCTGATAAGGGAAAAACCTATTTTATGATTATTACTATGGCCATAAAGCTCAGGAGCCAATTCAGAGTATTATAAATTAAACTTGTTACTGAATGTGGCATAATAATGCATATTTATCCTATTATATATGGTATGACTAATTAAAGGTTGTAATAAACAGTAATATCATTTTAGGTATCTTTGATCATATTAATATGGTAAATCCTTCCCTTTGCATTAATAGACAAACAAAGGTTATTGTTATTTCTATCCTATAGCTTGTGTATTATAATTATTGCATCTTTACAATATAAAGTGTATGGCATAGGTATATATACCCATTTATATCTTCAATCAGACTTGTAAGTAACAAACATATGCCATAGAATAAATTGTTATAGGGACCCCAGACACCTCTGTGATTAATAGGATATCCCAATGAAAGTTGGACCATTGGTCTATCCCAGATGTCCTAGTGGGATGTCCCACTGAAAATTAGACTATTGGACCATCCCAGATGTCCCATTGGGATATCCTACATGGTCCAATGGGATGTCCCATTAGCTTTTTGGATGTCCCATGTAGTTGTCCCAAAGGACATGGTAGACCATGCTCCAGGGGGCTACTTGTTACAACCAAGAGTTTGTATACTCTGGTGCACAACTCAGACAAAGCTATAAAGAAGTGAGGGGAGTGGTTACCCTTTAGATAGGACCAAGTTTGTTGTGGGTAAACAACAGGAGGACTCACTGAGGAGTCTCCTTGATCTATTAGGGTATATATACCACTACAGTTTGTTTGTACATGTGTACTGTACAGTTGATGGAGGCAGTGGCTGATGATGTCATGGGGCACAGCTTATGTGTCCAGCTCCACTGTGTGAGAAACTTGTATCTAAAAATGGAAAAAGCAGCACAACGCAAGAAGTAGAGTTTGAAAAATAATGGAAAGTGCCGTATGGCATAGGGTGTGAAAACTACAAAAGAAAGTTGAAGGGGAGAATGAAATTTAAAGGTCTGAGAATTGTGTTATTGTAACACTACCCCCCTTCTAAGGCTCAACTTCCAGGTGAGACCAAATATTAGAGGTAGTAGTTAAATCTTTGGGCATAGGTTGAAAAAGGGAATTAAAAAGGTTCAAATCCATGCCTCTAAGCTTCCTAGGAGCCGAGGGATTCTTAGAATAAAATTTGCAAACAGCATTGCGGGAATTATCCAGATGGGCTTCTGGTTCCCATGTTCTGTCCTCGTTTCCATAGCCCTTCCATAGGACTAGAAACTCTAACTTTTCACGCTTCAAGCGTGCATCCACCACCCGTTCAACTTCAAATTATTCTTCATCTTCCTGGGTGACTACTACCGGTCCGGGCCTGTCTACGCGCTGTCCCGGCAGCGGCCCTTTATAGGGTTTTACTCGGCTAATGTTGACCATGGGTACTACCCTCATTTGTTTTGGGAGTTCTAGCTCCACTGCATTGGGTTTGACTTCCTTAATCCGGTAAGGACAAATCCACTTTTTGGTCAGTTTTCTAGACTGCTGATCTTTCAATTTTAAGTGGTCGGTCTCTAACCAGACCAGGGCGCCAACCTTGTAATCAGGGGCCTTGGAGTGTCTATGCTCTGCCCTGTCTTTCATCTGCTCTGCAGTTTTGAATAGCGCCTTGCACATTTTGTCTAAGACAGATTTCATGTCTTTAGCCATGTTCCCTGCAGCCTTGTTCTTGCTTTTACCAGGTTCTACACCCATTCTGGGGAGGTACAACCTTGTAACCTCAAATAGTGCCTTTCCTGTAGCCGACAACTGTTCAATATTATGTGAGAACTGGGCTATCTTTAGCCACTTGGCCCAATCTGTCTGTCTGTCATTAATAAATATACGGAGGTATTGCTTCAATTCCTGATTGAGCCTCTCCGTTTGTCCATCAGTCTGCTGATGGAACACCATTGATAATTTAGGTTTGATGTCCAGCATCTGACATAACTCTTTCGTAAATTCACTACTGAATTGGGGTCCCCTATCGGAGATAACCATTTCTGGTAACCCATGGGTAGACCATACAAAATCTTTGAATAAGTCTGCCGTACCAGCAGCTGTAATTGTTTTATTGGTGGGAATGAATACCATTTCTTTGGAGAAGCGATCTACTACCACCATTACTGAATCATACCCGTTTGATTCAAGCAGATCTGTCATAAAGTCAACTGATATATCCTGCCAGGGACCAGCTGGTATTGGATTCAGCATGAGTTTACCGGCCAGTGGTTGATGCGAGTTCTTTGCCATGGCACATCTCAGACAGGATTTTACGTATTCCTGTATATCTTTGACCATACCAGGCCACATGTAATTTCTGGAGATCAACTCCATGGTTCATTGCCACCCAGGGTGCCCAGCCACTGGAGTGTTGTGATGTCTGTCTATTGCCTTGATCCTTGCGGACTCAGGCACATAGACTTTGTCTTTGTAATGGATGAGCCCGTCTTCCCATAAATAATGTAAATTGCCATCAAGGTGTGCCTTCTCTTCTGAGGAGAGGTCTTTCCTGAAGACTTCTAGAAGTTCGGAATCCAGCCCAATTTGAACATTGGCCACCCTGGATTGATCTATAAGGGTGACACCTTTGTTGTTATCTTCAATGCCGTTGACATGATCCTCTCTTCTGGATAAAACATCCGCTTTTCCCATAGAAGCACCAGGCTTATGAATTAGTTTATAATTAAACCTAGACAAGTACACCGCATAGCAGGCCTGTCTTCGGTTCAAGTCTTGGGCCATCATAAAATACTCCAGATTTTTATGATCAGCCCAAATTTTGAATTGGTGTCTAGCACTTTCTAATTAGTGCCGCCAGTGCTCTAAAACTTCAATGATGGCCAGCATCTCTTTATTGTAAATTTGATAGTTGTGCTCTGTAGGCGACAAACTATGCAATAAATAGGCACAAGGCCTCCAAAGATTATCAGGGCATTAAATTGACAGAACAGCCCAGTAGCAAAATCAGAAGAGTCAGTTTCTAGCCGGAACTCTTTGTCTAATTCTGGAAACGCTAATATGGGTGCTGTTGTAAATGCCTGTTCAAGCTTATCAAAAGCTTCTTGTTCCTTGGCACCCCAGTGCCAGACAACGTCCTTTTTAGTGAGATCGTTCAACGGTCTCGTTATTTTTGCAAAGTTTTCAACAAATCTTCGGTAGAAATTTCCTAAGCCAAGGAAGGCCCTAACTCCTTTGATGTGAGTAGGTTCAGGCCAATCCAAAATAGCTTGAACTTTCTCAGGATCCATCCTGATTCCATTCTGGCCAATTATCATACCAAGGAAATCTACTTCCTTCACTTTAAAGTTACATTTTTCAGGTTTGAAGAATAAGTCCCGTTCCTGTAAGCATTAAAGGACTTTTTGCACGATCCTGTTATGCTCAGCCTCATTGTCCGACTTTGTAAATATTAATAAGTCATCATTGTAAATGACAACACAGTTTTCCATATCCGCAAAGATCATGTTCATCATGCTCTGGAAGGTTGCCTGTGAATTAGTCAACCCAAAGAACATAACAAGGGGTTTGAAGGATCCTGGGTGGCATGTGAATGCGGCCTTCCAAGCATCTTCTTCTTTGATTCGTACATTATTGTACCCCTATCTGAGATCTTTCTTTGTTAAGATTTTGGCGCCAGCCAATTTGTCCACTAGCTGACTAATAAAAGGCAGCGGATACATATTTTTAACTGTGTACTCATTTAAGTAATGATAGTCCATAATCATACACTTTTTACCATCTTTTTTAGGGATGAAGAACACCGGGGACGTTATAGGGCTTTTGGAAGGTCTGATGTAACCCTTCCTAAGCGGTTTGTTTATGAAACTTGAAACCTCATCTCTTTCTGGAGCAGAGAGGGGAATTATGTGTCCTTTCCTTGGTTTGAAATTGTCCTTCAAATCTATAGCATGGTCCCAAGGCTTAGCCTCTGGGAAGCATTCTGATTCATGTTTCGAAAAGACTTTCCAGAAGTTATGGTACTTGGGAGGTACCAGCCTCTATCTCTTCCTTGGGTTTTACCTCATCATCGTCATCGTCAATCTTATCTAAAAATCGGAGCTTGGCATAAATGTGACCAGCGTTTATTCTTTCATCTAGCTTCGTTTGACGGACGTGAGTCGGTTTACCCAAGTCATCACACTCCCGAGGACAATGTGACAATATGACAACCTCTTTCTGCCCGTTGGTCTCAGGATTGTGTTTAAATAGCCAGGTCCAGCCCAAGATTAAATTAATCTTCCCTAGTTGGGTAGCTTCGGCGGTGACTCGTTCTCTGTGTCCTTGGTACTCAACAACGAAAGAACATTTGTGCATAATACAGCCACCCGCATTAAGTGTACTATCAATGTTATAGACAGGAATAGATACGTTTAATTTCACAAGGGGGAGTCCAATTTGCTCTGCCCAGACCTGATCTATGAAGATTCTGTTGGTGCCTGACTCAAGCAGTGTGTTGGTTGGGTGTACTATGCCCCGGGCAAGGTTTTCCACACCAATATCTAAACAGATCTCTTTTTGGAATAAATATGTGTGCATCAACACACATTTTGGGATTTCAGGGGAAGGTGGCTCCAAAGAAGAAGAATTGAGAGAAATATGTTTTTCTACTTTAATATTTTCTATGTCTTTATTTTTATTTTTACCAGAATCAAGCACCCTAGTAGTTGTCTCGCCGGGGCCACGTTCCAAGGGAGATGCTGGTGCAGTGGTAGTATCATAAATATTACAGTTACAATTTTTCATACAAGTACATGTTTCAGATAATAGATTTAGAAATTTATTTACAAATAGGGGAGCCACCCTCTTTTCTTTATTGCTCGTGCAACACCCTGGAGCAGGGGCCACTTTGTTGTGGTTTACTTCATTGTTCCGTGGAGTGCAGGCACCCAAGTGACCTAAGCTCCAAACTCTTTTCCATGAGCCTTCATCTTGTTGACCTGCTGGTCATAGAAAAAGGCCTGGATCTTGTCGTACAAACAACCGGCCAGAGTATTGAGCCAATTATCTGGTTTTTCAGTTTCTAATTGGCGCCCTTGGTTATTTTTTTGTTGGGCGGCCTGCGCCCCGTTTCTGCAATCTCGGGATATGTGCCCCTCTTGGCCACAGTTGTAAAAGTTGCCCTTGAATCTGTGCATCTGTCCGCCTTGGACCGCACCGATATCCATAGGAGCACCCTTTCCTGGCTGCAGCCTGAACAGCTTGAATCCGTGAGAGTGATTATGGTGGTTTGATGACCCAGGGCGCCTCTGGGATAGGTTGTTTTTGGTGGTGGGCCCACCACCTTGATGCATTACATAGAGCTCCAGGGCTCTACCAACTCGGCAAACTCCCTCAGCCACCAGCGCCAGGTTGTTGCTTTGTGTATCCTGCAGATAGATTTGTTAGGCAATGCGGGGGTTCACATTGTGTTCCAGCAGTTCTACTGCATGTTCATTACTAAGCCCTCCTTGGATAGAGAGGGCCAGGAACCGGGTAATATAATCATCTGTCCTCATATTTCCTTGTTTGAAGGAACGGATCTGCTGACGCGCCCAATCACGCTCAGCCTGTAGTTTGATATATTTTTCGATCTCTACCTTGAGATTATCCCAGGTGGGTCACACTCCCACCGTGTAGCACTCCTGCAGTCTTACTTGGGCGTATTGACCCACCACAAGTCCTTTAGATGTGATAGTATTGCTGTTGCTATCTCAAAATTATCGGCAAATGCGTCCCAATTTGCCTTGACCCAAATCTGGAGCTTGATCCATCATTTGGCAAATTGAGCCCTATCTCCTTCAAAAGTGCCAGGGTCAGTGACAATCTTGACTTTCTTGTTGAACTTTTGCTTAACCGTAGTTTTCACTGCTGGGGCAGCCTGAATCCCGGCAAGCTGATTTGTCAATGCTTGAATCTGTGCATGCATGTTGTGCAGCAGACTTTTCATATTGGGTTGCGATGACATGTTGACCTGTTCTCTTTGTAATGTAAAAAAAAGGTAACTGGGGCCGCTTGCCATCTGCGGATCTACCTTTTCCCAGCTGAGTGTCGGATCTCAATCTCCCACTACCCACACTATAGTGTTTGAAAAGTATATAAAAAGGTAAACATAATAAACCCTGGTCCGAACGGTTTTCAGGGGGTGGTCCGCTTGTTTAGCTGTCAACCCTTCTCCAGACTGGCAGAGGCAAGTGCCCGGCCTGGTCAGAGGAAAGAGAAAGGGAAGATTTGTATGTAAATTCTAATCAGCAGTGGTTCCACACCAACTGCTGAGCTAAGTACTCCCCTTGACACTGGGGGCCGTGTATACAATAACCCCTTAACCCTGGGGACCGGGTTTGCACAAAGTGCAAGAGAGTAGTAGGAGCGAGTCCTAATGTTACAACCAAGAGTTTGTATACTCTGACACATAACTCAGACAAAGCTATAAAGAAGTGAGGGGAGTGGTTACCCTTTAGATAGGACCAAGTTTGTTGTGGGTAAACAACAGGAGGACTCACTGAGGAGTCTCCTTGATCTATTAGGGTATATATACCACTACAGTTTGTTTGTACATGTGTACTGTACAGTTGATGGAGGCAGTGGCTGATGATGTCATGGGGCACAGCCCATGTGTCCAGCTCCACTGTGTGAGAAACTTATATCTAAAAATGGAAAAGGCAGCGCAGTGCAACAAGTGGAGTTTGAACAAGAATGGAAAGTGCCGCATGGCATGGGGTGTGAAAACTACAAAAGAACATTGAAGGGGAGAATGAAATTTAAAGGTCTGAGAATTGTGTTATTGTAACACTACTAGCTTGTTAGTTTGGAGAATATGATTAAGCTAAGAGCCCCAAAAGTTTGGCTGCCTGAAGTGGAATTTAGGTTCTGTTCAATCATTCTGCAACACAATTCCACTGGTTGGGGTTGTGTGCCATTAGTTCTCTGACAGTTCCTACATTGTTTAAAGTAAGCTTCAAACTCATTATTGAGGTATCCACCTCCTTGGTCTGATCTTAGAATCTTTATTTTAGTGTTTTTTTGTGTCATCATCTAAGCCTCACACAGTTTATATCTTCCAGTTGCTTGGTCTTTTGACATCAGAAGACAAATATGGGATTCCCTGAACCAATGATCCTTGAAAGTCATGGCATAGCATTTATGTCTGACATTTTCTACTATAGCTGGTCGCTATGTGGACTTCTTCACCATACAAAGTGGTCTGCATATATGATTTGCCAGGAAACACCTTTATAGTAATTTTTGCTTTTACACAGGGCTCACAACATGTTTCAGTCTTTGTTGTGTCAAGATGTATATCATCAATCATTTCTGGCATAACAAGATGGTGTATTGATTTATGGGACAGATGTCCCATGATTTTATGTAGTTGGTTGGTGAATATTTTGAGTGCTGCAGCTACAACATGTGTGGGTGTAGTTCCCATTTTGTCTGTTTCTGTCAAGAGCTGATATAGTCCCTCTTTTACAGGGACTATTCATTTGTATTGTCTTCCTGGATGATTTGGGGACAAAATCTGGCATACATATTCTTCAAAAAAACAGTGAATCCTCTTTTATTAAACTTGTTGGCTGATATCAAGATGGTGGCCATGTCAGGTATGTGTAGAGCGACTTTCAACATGACTGACAATTGTTTTTGACCATTGGGAACTTTCATGATGACATTTCCTTTCCCTACGGCTTTCAGTGGGGGCTATGTGTATTGGTTCGGGACTTATACATTGATAGCACATAAAATTTCACAGTGGGACAGAAATGTGTACTTTCCCCGTAATCTATCCAGGTGGTATATTACTGCCTAACCTTAATGACTCATCTATTACTTGGGGCGGGTCTTTGGTTGGACAAAACATCAAATGTGTAGAGATTATCTTCAGACAACTTGTCATTTTCAATGGTAGCAATGGCTGCGGTGGGGTTTTTTTTTATTAGAAGGTTTGTTTGTGGCAGCTAGCGTAGCCTAGACATTGCAGTGGGTTATTTCCTCCAGAATAGCATCAATAACTTGATCTGTAGAGAGAGAAAATTTTGATATGTGGGCAACTGTGGTTATTGAGCTGAAGGTAGGCTGGTAGGATTCAGGTAAAGACAATATAACAATGGCTATACATTCTGTGTTAGGTAGGTTTGCACTTGATGCAGCAAATTTGGATCAAAAGTATCCCAGCCAGGTGGCTGAAATTATGCTGTTTGTGTACAAATTATACCTCTCCCGGCTTGGCTGGAACCCTTTCATGCCCGTGGTGCACTAGTTGAGTTTAGACACCAGTCAGGTGATGTGTCAGGTAATTAGTCATGTGACTTAAAAAAGTAAAGGTTCAAAATAAAAGAAAAAGAAAAACAGAAATAAAACAAAAATAACTGCTGAAAATGCTGTCATAACACAGATGGTCATTTTCCAGGAGGTTTATTTGCACATATGTGACTTCAGACAGGGGGCCATAATAATTTGTCTTGCCATGCCTTCTTTCTGTCTGTAGGCTCAAAGTTCAATTTTGTAAGCTTTAAGTTCTATCTGGGTAAGTGTAGTGCTGTTGCTTTTAACAAAGTGGTCATTTGATATTCTTTTGGTGTATTTGCTCCCATCAATGTATTGATGTAACTTCATTATTGATAGTCACGTTGACACTCTCTACTGAGCTTATAACCTGTAGAAACTGATAAAAAAGTATGGGTAGCATATTAGTAAAATATTATAAAAGCCATTGTAAATATGCTGTTACCTCAGTTAATGCTGCAAATGTTACAATTGACACACCAGCACCTACTTTACACTTTATATTACCAAAGCTTTGATACGGTGGTGCACAAAGAAAACAGGCAAGAGGAGTAAATGAAGGAGTGGGTAAACTCCCTTAAAGTAGGACTGAGTTGGTTGATGATATTCAACAGGAGGGCTCACTAAGGAGTCTCCTTCATCTATTGGGGTATTTATACAATTACAGACTATTTGTACATGTGTACTATACAGTTGCTAAAGGTGGTGGCTGATGATGTTATAGGGCACAGCCCTTGTGACCAGCTCCACATGATAGAGTTGTGTCTAAAATGAGAGAAAGCAGCACAGCTTGAGAAAGTGAAGGTATAACTGGAGTTTGAAATAAAGGCAAAGTGCTGCATTGGAATGAGCATCCAAAAATGTTAATGAAAGTTTCAAGTCCAAAAATTGTATATTGTAAAACTTTACTTTTACTGTACTTTTACTTTTCATTTTCCAAATCATATGACTGATCATGTGACTATTTGTTTTACTTTGGACTTTTCATAGTCACATGACCGATCATGTGACACATCACCTAACCAGTGTCCAGACTCAACATGTAACTAGTCACATGCTAGACATTGAACTTTAAACTTTACTTATTAACTATATAGTACCTTATTTGTTGTAGTATATATACCAGCGCAATACATGGGGAAGGACTCAGTGAGTTCTCACCTAGTGGATACCAACATTAGTGAAGACAACCTCTTTCCTTTGATAGGTCATACACTTCCCTTTCCTCCATTGAGTTGTAGTTGTGTTGTGCTCCAGCGCCCCAAGATAGCATCTTGTTGGTGTTGTCACAGCAAATATGTTTATGAATGACAAATTATGACATTTGTTTATAGTATGGGAAAACATGCATTGGCCAGGGCTTGAACCTGGGACTCCAGCTTTCATGGTCTAGTGCTTTACAAACTAAGCTACCAAGGCATACTTGGAAAGCATACTGATTGGTTGCATGCCCAGAAGGTCCAGAATCACTGTACACGGGTGCGGATCCCATTATATTGTGATAATGAATTCTAAGTATTTTCAGAGTTTTCCCCTCACACGGGACAATAGAACTATATAATGACAGCATTTGTGCATTTGTACTAAACTATTAATCTCAACACACCTGCAAATAAATTACCTTTTTTATGTGAGAAGATGAGTGTTTCTGACCCTGAATACAAGAAGATAAATGGATATTCCTTTACAGCTTCTACAATTAACAATATTCTTGCTTGTCTATCTGGCCAGCTCAATTTGGTTAATCACCAAATGTCTCAGTTAATATCAGAGTATTTCAACCCTTATTTATTTCCAGATATATACCCTACCCTGTTTTCTTTCAGTATAGGAGGTTTTGATGACAGGCTGTGTGTGGTTCCTCTATCATACACTGAACAAGATTTTCTTCATAATCACTTCTCATCTTGATAAAATAGTAGCCTTAATCCAACAGAACTTCATGCCAAACTATGTAATGACCTTGGATACCAAACACCATTTCTAACTACTTCAAAAATGTGATATACCATCACTTGCCTGATATTGAAGTCAAACTAGACCCAAAATTTGAATCTTTAGTTGAATGAACTTCTACTATGTCTGGTGAGGCTATATTGGACTCAAAACATGAACTGCAGATTCAGCTACTTGCACCTGTTTCTTTTCCTCCTGACCTGCCATTTTTAGACCCAAATGACAATAATTAAAATGATGAGAAACATGTCAAGAACACTATTGATATTCTCAATGAGTAAGAATCTACTGTTGTGACTGAGATCAAAAGTGTAGTGAAATCCTACAACAACATCAGTGCCAGTTAGTTTAATATGGCAATGTAAAGAAGTGTAAATTTCTTTTTCCACACAAAATAGTAGAAGCCTCATATTTCCCTCCCATAATAAATTCTATTGTGCTAATGTGCCAAGATGGGAACGTCAACTGTTACAATAGATATATTCTGGCATTTTGTGTGGAAAGAGTGCAAAAGCTGCCATATTTTACATAAGAGATTATATCACCAAACTACACTTGAAAACTTATGAGATGTGGTTGTTGCTATTGCATGTAGTTACTCATACCCCTCCCCCCCAATAACATAGCTAATCATTTTTTATCCAAAACACAAAAACATTGTTATATGAATGTATGTCTCAGTTTACAAAACAACAACAAATTTATGCCCAATAAACTGTACAATATTTGAGAGGCTTTGGCTACAGTATCTCTACCCATTGTACTTGTACTGTACCTATATTATCTGTGTTACTGAATGTATTTATGACTGACATGTATCACCAAGCACACAATGTAATACCAATTGTGAGCTACAACATAGAAGATGAGGGTGAACATTATAACTTATGTATAATTACAGACAAATTGGGCAACTTATTTCAGTGTCATTAAGTGCACCATTATTATTATTATGTGAATACTTTATCAGACTGGTGCTTCAATGAGTTTTATCAATGTGTGCGGATTTGAAAAAGTAATCATGACAAACTGGCAAGCCATTCATGAGTGTGAAAATAACATGGATGCTGAGTGAATAATGTGCTGCACTCACCAAAGCAAGCAAAATATTGGCTCTCATAACCCATGAATAAGATTCTGGTGACACTGAAGAAAATCAATTTGTTGACCCTGGTTTGTGAGCAAGTATGAAGATGAAAAAAAAAATTAAAATGAAAGGATGAGAAAAAACACAGAGGATAGAGAAATAAATGGAGACTCAAAAGCAAACACAAGAGAAAGAGGGCGGGAAAAGAGGAAAGCAAAAAGCTATAGATTAGGATTAGGCGATAAGGAATATTGAGGCACATAGTAAGTAAGAGCTAATAAAACTAAGTGAAACTCAGCTGCTGCCCAAGAAGCTATAGAAATAACTGAGGTATTGGTATTCCTATACTAAGCCCCCTATTAATTATAGTCAGAGGTGCTACTTGCTAAGGTACAATGACTCCTAGGAGAACAATGGGTGACTCCGTAGAGTAGTGGCTATGCTCCATAGAGAACAATAGCTGCTTAACAGCTTTAGCTGAGACAAAGCTTATCCAATTTTGTCATAATGTGTCTTTGAGAGCTCCCAAAAGGGAGCATTCATACAAATATTATAACAAAGCTATAAGGGAAAACACTAATTTGCAATTTCTAAGAAAATTATATGCAAGCTTTGTAACTACCAAAGTTTGTATACTCTGGGGCATGTTGAAGACAAGCAAGGAGGGCTAAATGAAGGAGAGGATAATCTCCCTTAGGTAGGACCAAGTTTGTTATAAGTAAATAATAAGAGGACTCACTGAGGAGACTCCTTGATCTATTGGGGTATTTATACTACTACAGACTATTTGTACATGTGTACTATACAATTAATAAAGGCAGTGGCTGATGATGTCATAGGGCACAGCCCGTGTGACCAGCTCCACTGCGTGAAAGACTTGTAGCTAAAAATAAAGAAAAGCAGTGCAGTACAAGAAAGTGGAGTTTGAACAAAATGAAAAGTGCTGCATAGCACAGTGTGTGAAAACTATGAAAGAAAGTTTAAATGGAGAATGAAATTTAATGGTCCAAAAATTGTGTATTGTAACAAGCTTTGTATGCAACATTATAAGTATTTTGTTAGCAATATTATAAGCTCTTCAGCATGATGCTACATATACTACCAGAATACAATGTTGAGGCCCTAAATTGTTGTTTTCAAATAAGGTATTCTACAGGATATTGTGAAGGACCTGCATTGTCAGTATGGAGATGAAAAGATGCCACTTTATGCAGCCAATTTGTTTGGCTTAGACTTTGTTCCCATCCAAGGTAAGTGAATATTGATTTTTTTTACATAGATTTGGTATTTAAATCTGGCTTTCACCACAAATTATGAAAGTATTGGTTGTAGTAAAATACATTGTTATGCAATGCTAAATAATCCAAACACTTCTGATTTAGACCTTTTGGCACTTGTATCATATGAAAGCCTCCAACTGCCTTTAAGTTCCCCACCATCCTCAGCAACTTATAATATAAACAGTAAGTTATTGTATTGTTACTTCTATTTATACACATATTCCATGCATACAACCTCTGGAGTGGGTATATGCCCATCCAGTCATATATCAAATGATATGTTCACATCTCATACTTAGGCTAAAGATCACACCACAGGCTATGAACTGTTTACTCTGGGCGCAACAACCACTGATTCCAACACTTATGGCTTAGATCTCCTGGCACTTGTATCTAGCAAAGATGAGTTGTATCACTCAAGCAGCCAGCCAACTCATACAGAAAGTGGTCAGTTGTTCGAGTTACTAGCATCAATGAAATTCATGCACATTTTGTCATGGCAGGTACAAGCCTATCTGATAATGTACCCTTCATTAATAATCTCTCTCAACAAATGCCTCCTCTTCATCATGGTTTGTATCCGGGTGTTACAATAACACAATTTTTGGATCTTTCCTTCATTTTTATTCTCCGCTTTAACCTTATATACTTTAGCTTTCACACGCGGCACTTCCCCTTTTGTTCAAACTCCTCTTTCTTGCGCCGCATGGCCTTCTTCTTATTTTAGATACAACTCTCTCACACAGTGGAGCTGGTCATGCGGACTAGGCCCCATGACATCATCAGCTACTGACTTTATCAACTGTACAGTATATAAGTACAAACACTCTGTATTAGTATATATACCCCAATAGATCCAGGAGACTCCTTAGCGAGTCCTCCTATTGTTAACCAACAAACTCTCTGCAGCCTAAGGGGTAACCACTCTCCATTCACTACCTTTATAAGTGTGTTCCTGTGTGCACCAGAGTAACTAACTCTTGGTTGTTACACCGGGTTATAAAGCAAATAGTGAGTGTCTCCTTTTACGCTTAAGTTATCTGAGTATTATGCCAGTTGAAAGGCAGCATCCTTTCTTCAACACCACCCCAACTCCAGGGCTTGATCTCCTAGCATTTGCTGAGTATATCAAAAAAACTAGTGCATGGAAAACTATAGGCCATGTGAATAAGGGGACAATGACTAGTCTGGGCACTTTGGTAAGTCTCCCCTTGTTGACCCCATTTTTTCTAAATTTCTCATGGACATTTCCTCTGATTTTGGAGCGGAAAACTGGAATAAGAATACCCTTTTTTCTCAACCTTTCTAACACTTCTAGTCACCAAGAAGCAATTAAATGCCAAACTCAAATTATGAAGGTTCTGCCCATTTTCTTACCCAATTCCCAAATTGACTTACTCCTCAATTACTCAAACAATATGACTATAAATCCCATCATGGCAGACTTATTGGCACTAATGAAAAGAGACTTGGATTAACTTGAAGATAGTAAGCGGCTTGCCAGTGGAAGTTTGTTGGATGCACATCACTCAATTTTTTAATTGTGTCATTAATACCACTATGCCATCCAAATTGCTTGTAAGTGCTTGGATACGAGCTCCTTTCACATTCACAGACTGAAGTTGGGCAGATTGTGACCCCGTACTCAGTACTCTGAGTCACTGGCAGTTCAAGTGCCACATCCAAGTGATGCACTGGCATATACTATACATGAATGGTAACACTATTACTACTATGCTACTCACAGGCAGGTTCCAAGAACTCCCAATCTGATCTACCAATATCAATATTAACTGCCATGTTCCGCATCCAGGCTATACTAGTAGTAGTACTATCACTGGCATCAACTTGCAGAGTCTGGGCTCGGATGATGCCAGGCCCATGCTGCAAATTTGAACACATGATCTTCAAACTCAAACTCAAACACCTGCTCTCATAATTTCTCACCAATGTTTACTCTGAGTCTTCAAGTTCCTACCTGCAAGCTATGTCTGTGTGTGGTGTACCAAAATCTTCTGCTAGTGCAAGCTGGTACACTAAATCAGCTGCTTTTTCTTGAGCCTCTGCTAATTGTTGGATTTTCAAAGCAAGTTGATAATTTAGACTGGGTATTATATTCTCCAGATGCTGACCTTTGCCAAGGTGGCGGCTCCAGTAGCCACACTTAATGCAATAAATTCCTGGTATGATTCATATCAGACAATAGGCCAGCATACTTTGAACTCCAAGCTTTGAGTCTGACTCAAAATGAAAATGACATACCTTGGACATTGATTTTGAGATCCATAAGACATCCCACATTTTCCAGTGCTCTGTTCTTGGCTTTGAGCCTGTTACTGCTCCTCTGCTGCATCAATAAATTGACCATTTTTCAAATTGGGTTGCAAAACAAGTTGAAGGTGAAACTTTTGCTCCTTTAGAAGTCTCCATTGTAATATGTTTTATCTATGTCAGCAAACATGGAAATCTAAGGGCAAAGTGACACTTACTGTCACAGCTTGATTTTTAATTTACATCTTGATTTGGGAATTGGGGAGCTCCAAATTATCATTGTCTCGGAGCTTCAGAGTGGTAGTGCATCTCATGATGTGGTGGTCTGATGATATGAGCTAATATAGTGATCACAGAAAGTAACAGAAGACTGGCCAGTGGTACTTGAGCACAAATGTCACTCTTACCAGGAAGATTGCACTGGTATTTATGTGATAGGCTGCCTTGGGGTCTAAGTCCTCCTTGTTACAATTGACGTACCAGTACCTACTTACACTTCACTTTTTGTACTTTTATTTTTCATTTTCCAAGTCACATGACCAGTCATGTGACCATTTACTTTACTTTACATTTTCGACTTTTCATAGTCACATGACCAGTTATGTGACACAACACCTGACCAATGTCTAGACTCATTATGCGACCGGTCACATGCTAGACATCGGACTTTAAACTTTATTTAGAACTGTACAGTACCTTATGTATTTTAGTATATATACAGGAGCAATACATGGGGAAGGACTCGGCGAGTCCTCCTGTTGTCTACCAACAACTAACTTGTTGAATCCTAATGGGTAACCACTCCCACCTCTTCCCCTTCTTTTGAGTGTTGTTTTCATTGTGCTCCAGTGCCCCAAGACTGTGTCTTGTTGGTGTTGTCACACCGAGCTTCTCGCTAGTTTGCAGGGTCAGTTTGATTTTTGAAGTGTAAGCACCATAAGTTGGTACTAGTGATCCCTGTTGGTCATTGACATTGTGGAATGGTGAGGCTGTTTTCTTTCATATTTTTAGTCTCTATTGGGTGCTGACAGAAAACCAAATAGCTACTTGCCACGGGCAGTGATCAAGTTTTTTATTCAAATTTGATCAGTGGGTAATGAGGGCTAGTGTTTCTATTGCACAGGTAGTCCTCCACCAAGTCCCCATATATTGGATTCACACAGCCATTGTTTACTACAATGTATAATCACAGGCCCATTTTGTGTAATATCTGTAGCAGAGAACAGGACTCTGGCATCTCTGAAGGAGATACTTCCCCAAGTCTGAACCTCCCAAATTGTCAGTATTCTTGGGATTACGCTCCTCATAGCCTGCCAGTTGGCATAGCCCCGTGTACCACCCCCACATGGTACTCTGGACTCCACCGGACTTCTAGTCCATCATATGCTTTTCTATGCATGTTCCTGTACTCCTCATGGACTCTGTAATGTAGACCTTATGATACACTCCTTGCACATACATTTCTCTCTTGCTAGATAGTTGTCCGCATGGAACTCTGTACCTACATCACAAGTTACTCCTTACAAGCCCCTACTCCTCTGACAGTATACAAGTTGCAGCTCCTGTACTCCATTCCTGCAGTTCAAATATCAATTAGATTCCTTTGCCTTTTACAAGTCTCTTCCTAAGTTTTCCAATCCTTCTCCGAAGGGTCTTTACTCTGCTCCCCTTTCATCCTGTACTCTACTCCGTCCATTTTCTGTTGAGTTAGGGACCAAGGTCCGCAGAAGGGCCTAGCGCACAAGCTAAGCCAATTCCCCATCTCATACTCCGTAACTCTGAACAATCCACAGGTCATGGTTCTAACACCTTGATAACTTGAACTCAACTCTTCACAGCCTACAAAGTTTTTTCAAGTTAAGTGTATTTAGTGTGGTTTTTGCCTAACAGCAGCTTACTATTACCTGTTTGTAAAGCGGCATCTAGTAGTAGTTAAGCCTCAGACAACATTACAGGACAGTCTTGGACACAACGTCTGTAGTACAAAAGGTAAATGTTTCAAAAGTTTAAATTTTGCTGTTTCTACACATGCACTTTCAAGTCCAAACATGTTTGCCAGCAACAATGAAAGCCTCAGTAATATATCTCAGAAGTGTGGGCAAAGGAGTGTGCTGGAACTAAACACTAGGAAAGAATTGTAAGCCTTACTTTGATCAGCATTTATTTATAATTATTCATGCTTTCTGGAGTGTAAGTAAAAATCCTCTGGTTTATCATGGGCAACACATTGGGCGCACAGTATATGCTTTCTGCAACATTCAAAGTCTCATTGAGAATGGCATTGAGCACATGGCTTCTGATGATGCTGAGGACTTGGAATGTTGAATGGCAGAGTAAGCCTTGCTATGTGGCATATATTCTATTGTACTGACCAAAACTTTATCCACATCAGAGAACACAGGGAACATCAAGCTTTCAATGAACTCTTAAAGTTCATTCCTGGTCTGGAGAGACATTTACTTAGCCCAGATGCATTGGAGGAGGAAATTATTCTGACTGCCAATCTGGTATGTTTGGCCTGGAACTACTTGTTACAATACATAATTTTTGGACTTTTAATTTCCAGTCTCTACTTCAACCTTCTTTCTTTTTTGAACATTTGTGCCATGCGGCACTTTCCTTTTGTTTCAAATTCCACTTAGACTATCACTTTCTTGCACTGCGCATCTTCCTTTATTTTTAGTTACAACTCTCTCATGTGGTGGAGCTGGTCACAAACATCAGGAAAACATGATTTAGATATAAATGCAATGTATATTTATATACTATAATGGCAAAAATATCCCTTATATCCATAAGTGTGATTTTTGCAGTCCCTTACTCTAAACTGCATAAGGATCAATAAATATCATCTTTATTGATATTTACACAGTTTAGAGTATTGATATATCATCAAAAGTGGTTTATAGCACAGTTATTAAAACAAAAATGACCTTGCACTTTTTCACTATAGTTTACTTTGAATGCAATTCTATCAATCCATACTCAATTATATCCAAAAAAAACACTAATAAAGCAAATTATATTGATTCTAAATATTTAAAATACTGCAGCACTATTGTAATATCTGTAATTATGATTTGGATGCTTTTGCTGCTTCTTCTAAAGCATCAAAATCAAACATAAGCTCAGATACATCAGATTGCCCCACTGTTATACAACCATTCCTACAAAAATACTTATGGTTAAAAAAAAGGTTTGAATGATAATGAATTTGTAGTAAGCTCTTACCAAACATATTCATCAACCTCATCAAATACAGCTGCCAAGTATGTAGGAGAACATTTCTGAAATATTTCCAACAACCTTATATGATGATCCCACCTTGTAAAAGTATAATTAGTATAGATTTATGGTGATTAAGGTGACGTACCTAGCAGAAATTGCTGTCTCTGAGAATTCTATTGTAGTGTTGTTAATTGCATCTAGTAGAGCACATTCAATCTGGTAAATAAATTTGATCGTCAGTCTTATTTAAAGAAAGATATGAACACTTACGGAGTATGCTATTAGAGCCAAAGTAGGGAGATTGCATAGATATAGGTTATTTTTTCTACCATACTTTCTACCTTCACCTTTGGGACCCCACCATTGTGCTTGAAAAAGAATTTTGATAATAATATTAATATTTCTCCGAGGTTGGTTTGTGTCAGACATCTTCTCCTGTCTGCAGTTAGTATAAGTATAACAATAAAGCTTTTAAATAACTCACCTTTAAATCTATGGTGTTATTGATAAAAGTTTCTGAGTTTATGATCAAATAGATCATACCACTTAGTTTGTCCTTGTGGATGTTTTTGATGCCATACGTAGGAGGTACACTGATTCTAGCTTTAGAAATAAGTTCCCCTCTGACCTGTGTAGAACCTTTTCACATCTGTATTTACGGTGATAATTAGTATGGATATATATGGAGAAATTTAAACTCACATATTGTAGTAATTGAGACTTGAGGATCTGGTCGTCTTGTATCTCCTTCATTTTGTCCACTAGGCTACTGTCATTCTCTGCTGCTGTGGCGTTGACCAACAAATCCCAGTATATTGATTGACAACTGAAGGGGTTTGGAAATCCTTTTTCTGTTACAATTGACATACCAGTATCTACTTACGCTTCACTTTTGTACTTCTACTTTTATTTTCCAAGTCACATGACCAGTCATGTGACCATTTACTTTACTTTACATTTACAACTTTTCATAGTCACATAACCAGTCATGTGACATATCACCTAACTGATAAAATTGGATAATGACCAGACCAGGGATTGAACCTGGAACCTTCTGGATACATGCCAGCTGCTCTACCAATTAAGCTATATGGCCAAGGTTATACAATGTAGGATCTTAAACATGACATGCAACCACGGACGTCTTACACAGAATAGCTGCTGCATACTGGGCTGGCTTACAAATCAGAGGTATTATCCTATGGAGTATTGGTATGTCAGAGTATATTCTAACACTAACCAGTGTCTAGACTCATCATGTGACTGGTCACATGCTAGACATCGGACTTTGAACTTTATTTACAACTGTACAGTACCTCATGTATTTTAGTATATATACAAGAGCAATACATGGGGAAGGACTCAGCGAGTCCTCCTGTTGTCTAGCACAACTAACTCACTGCAGCCTAAGGGGTAACCACTCCCCATCATCTTCTTTATAGTGTGTTCCTGTGTGTGCTAGAGTAAATAACTCTTGGTTGTTACATTTTCTGTGACTGTAAAAAGTCTCATAGCTTTGTGAGCCAGGCTTGCAATACATTTGTTGATAGGGCAGGCCATAGAATGAAGCTTTGGTTTTGCAGTGGAAGATTTTGGAAGAGAGATGATGCTGGGGCTGCATGACATAGTAGACGTAGATGTAGAAACAGTGGGACAATCTGTTCCTCTTACAACCTGTAGGCAAGTAAATAAATGTTCTCAAGGTGACAACAGTCTTACCTCATTATCATCCACAACTCTTTTTGGGGAACTGTTGTTGTTCTCCTGCTCCTGCTCCTGCTGTTCCTCCTCTTCATTATCATCTGATAGAGGCTGTAAAGGAGGTACTACAGAATTATCTTGATCATCATTAGATATTTCTGCAGGACCCAGAATATGATCTATCATATTCTTGCCATCATCAGCATTGTCATCATTATCAGTAACATCCTCATTATCATTGTTGTCATTATCATCACCATTCAGACATATTTTCTTGCCATATAGTGACAAAACCGGATAAACCCGGTCTCTGCCGAAGCAGCCATTGTTCTCCATGGAGCATAGCCACCACTCCATGGAGTAACCATTGTTCTAAGAGCACAATTGTACTCCTAGGAGTCATTATACTGTAGCGAGTAGCACCTCCGACTATAAGTAGTAGGGGGTTTAGTATAGGAATACCTCAGTTGTTTCTATAGCCTCTTGGGCAGCGGCTGAGTTTCACTTAGATTTATTAGGTTATGAGCCCTGGTGCGCAAAAGCTACGCAGGAAATAATTCTTATTTGAAACGGCAACCTCGGAACCATGACCACAGCACGCGATACATCCGCATGTCCAGTTCTCACTGGACCCAACAATTTTCAGATATGGAAACTCCAGATCATCTCAAAGCTACGTTGGGAAAAAGTTCTCCGGGTTGTAACTGGAGAGGAGCTTAAGCCCTCACCAGGAAAACCTACCTCCTCAGAGGATCCTGAGATCACCTGGATACTTAAGGATGAGAAGGCACATGGAATCATCCAGGACCACATCTCTGATGCCCTCCTAATGAGGACTGGAGGCCTCACCAGCTCCAAGGAGTTATTTGATAAACTTGTGTCACTCCATCAAACATCCAACATTGCCTTGGCCTTCTATTCATTCCAGCAACTCACCAAATTGTCCTGGGATGGGACATCACCTATCCAGGACCACATTGCGAAAATCCAGACAATTGATTCACACCTCTCCGGAATGAAACTAGGAGTTGATACCAAACTCATGGCTTTTGCTCTTCTCCAATCTCTCCCATGCACTCCTGAATGGCAAATATTTCAGTCATCAGTAATCAACACGATTGAAGAAAATAAACTGACCTTTGATGCAGTTGAGATCCGGATCACTGCAGAAGTTGCACGACAGTCAGGGAAGGCCCCTGGAGGTTCCGAATCAGCACTCAAATCCGAGGAGAAATGGTGTAACTTCCACAAAGCCAAATCACACAACACCTTGGAGTGTCGAACACTTCAGTCAGCTGAAAAAGGTGAAAGGAAGAAGGGAAAGGAAAGACACAAGGATAAAGGAAAAGAGAAGGAAAAGGCAAATACAGCAAAGCAATCATCCAGATCTGACTCCAAGGAGGAACAGAGTCATATTGCATTGGATCATGTACATATTTCCAAGCCCCTTGCTAAACACATTCAAGCTTACCTTGTGTTGGAACCTGATAAGACCAAAACAACAATTATTATTGACTCCGGAGCAACATCCCACATGGTCCCTCACCGCTCCTGGTTTGAGCCAGGAACATACCATGTTCTGCATCCTCCGAGGACAATCAGTTTTGGGGATGAATCCTCTGTAAATGTCATTGGCATTGGAACAGTAATCCTACAAGCAACTGTTGGCAAAAAGGACTACAATATTGCACTGTCAAATATCTTAGTTGTGCAAAACTTCACGTTAGCACTCGTCTCTGTCCACAAATTATCCAAAATGGGGTTATCAACACTTTTTCCAGCAGGGTCAAATACTTGTGAAGTTCGACAAAAGGAGGAACTTATCCTTACTGCCTTACACAAGCGAGGACTTTATCACATCCAAGCAAAACCCGAAATCAACCCGGAGTCAGCTTTTGCAGTAGTAGATGTAAATTTATTGCACAGGAGAATGGGACACATTGGAATGGACCACTTGCAACGAATGGTTACAAAAAGACAGCTCCAGGACATAGACACCCTTACCGGAACCCCGGAGTTTTGTGAACCTTGTGCTTTAGGAAAGATGAAGAAATTACCTTTCAAGTCCACTGGAGGAAACCGAGCCAAGCGCCCCATACAAATTGTGCACACAGATGTTGGAGGACCAATCAAACCAACCTTTAGGGAGGGTTTTTGGTACTGGATTATCATTGTAGATGATTTCTCCAAATTTCCATGGATATATTTCCTAAAACATAAAAGTGAAGCACTGGAACGATACAAGCAATGGAAAGAAGATGTCCAAACATTCTTCCGGACTCATTTGGGAGAAGAAAACTTCACTCCACTATACACAGAATTCCTCTGGAGCGATGGGGGAGGAGAATATACTGGCAATGCATTCAAAAATCAACTTCGAGAAGATGGTGTCATCCAAGAAACTACAGCTGCAGATACTCCGGAACAAAATGGCATTGCAGAACGCATGAATCAGACATTGGCTACATTAGCAACCACTATGCTCCATGATTCCAAGCTCCCAAAGTCATTTTGGGTAGATGCCATGCAAACAGCTGCATATATCACAGCACGCAGCCCAGCATCAGGACTCCATGGAAAGACCCCATATGAAATACTGTTTAAAAGGAGTGTTGATCCAACTTTGTTTCGCCCTTTCAGATGCCAAGCATATGCCTTGATTCCGAAAGACAAAAGGCAAGGGAAGTTTTACTCCAAGGGGCGCAAAGCCATAATGATTGGCTACACACATGAAAAGCAAGCCTACAAACTCCTAGACACTGAAAAACGGACTGTGTTTTCCAGTCGGCATGTCATATTTAATGAATCCGGAAAGGTACAAAAGGATGACACTACTCCCTGGAACAAAGACACTAGCACAGATCAGTGGGAGGGACTCATTCCAGAGAATGCTCACTATCCAGACCAAAAAACATTGGAGGAGGACGATCCTGACCCTCAGATCCGAGATCCAAATGAATTGCAAATGGAACCACATCTCCAAGGAGATATTCCACAAGCAATGGAACCATGTCAGCATGAAGATGTTCCGAGAGCAGTGGGGCAATACCTCTGTGGAGACATTCCGAGAGCAGTGGGGCAATACCTCTGTGGAGACATTCCGAGAGCAGTGGGAGCACCTGATCAGCTAAGACACCCTCCACAACAGTCTCTACAACCAAGACCTGAACACTGGCCATCTTCAGAATGGAAAGCCAAAGTAGAGTTACAGTCAGTGGGAGGACAGCCCCTCAACATACAGCCAGCTGATGTGGAAAAAGTCCGAATACAGCTAGACAGCCTGTCCATTGGATCAGCTTCTGGAAGGCATCCAACACCTCCAAGGAGTCATCCAACGCCTCTGAGGAGTGATTCAACACCTTCAGGAGTGAGTGGGGCAACACACACACAAATGTGTCTACTCCCTGGAGTACCTGCACAAGCTCCTAAAAGAGCAGTCATGCCTGCTGAAGTCCTAGGAGTACGCAGAAGCAGTTGCCAGACCCGTTCTGCAGACAAAAATTGAGATTATCAAAGGACTCTAGATGAGGAACAGTCTCAAAAAGAGCAGCATGACAACTCCATGGAGAAACCTAACACTCCTGAGGTTCATGAAGAAACATCTGATACAGAGGAGACATTTTTTGCTGGAATAGCAAGTACCGGTCCATCTAACACAGACCTTCCAAGGACACTAAAGGAAGCCTTATTACATCCGGATGGAGAATTATGGAAGTCTGCCTTGGAGGAGGAACTCCTAAGTCTCAATACTAATGCAGTATATGACACTGTTCCACTTCCGAAGGAAGTAAAACCCATCACATCAAAACCTGTGTTCCAGATCAAGTTTGATCAAAACGGAAACATTGAGAGATACAAACTCCGGATTGTTGCACGAGGTTTTACTCAAAGGGAGGGGATTGATTACCAGGAGGTTTTTGCTCCGGTTGCAAACTTAGAGTCAATCCAAATTATTCTAGCCCTGGTAGCAAAGTACGACCTAGAACTTGATCAAATGGATGTATCCACAGCTTATCTCAATGGAGAACTTGAAGAAGAACTGTACATGCTTC